AAAAATTTAACGAACTCACAAGTCTGCACATGCATGCACGTGTATATTGTGCAGCATAACCAGGAGCGGCTAGACACTCGCGTGAGCATCGGGAGATCGTGGGTTCGGATCCGGCCGGGACGGGATTTCTTACAGAAATTAACTTGGCTCCCAGTTCCACCCAGCCTTGAGTGGGTACCAGGTGCAGTGCTGGGAGTTAAGGCGGCCGTGGTGATGCTGACCGCATTACCCACCAAGTGCAGCTTCGTCTATAAAATATAGTTCTCGTCTTATATACCCAATATGCCTAAAGGCGAGGGAAAGGGTCCTTTTACTTCTTTCTCTTAGTGTAACAAGAGCTTTGTTTCTGACGGTGTGCAGTACTAACACCTTTTGTATTGGCATCGTGTTTTCAACGGTACGACAGCAGTGCGATTTGTTCTTAAGCCAGCTTCACCTTCGCCTTTACAATATTCAATATGCCCGGCTCTCTAGCGGAATTGGCTAAACCGGATTTCGCAGAGACCGGGTGACGTACTCCTTGTGGTCCGGGTTCAATCCCGGGGGTAGGCAGGAAAGCCACATTTTCTTCCAGATTTACGGTATTTACAATGGAATCAAGGCCGAAAGGTTGCGATATTCATAATACCGAGCCTAAGGGTTAACAACTCATGGCTTCTGGATACTAAAACAAACAAACAAACAATATTCAATAATGCAGGATCGCCAGCTATGGAAGCAGCACGGAACGATATTTGGCGCCGACGCAAAGAAAATATTAGAAGATGCTGTTTAGACGGTTGGGAGAGGGGAAAGGGGGGGGGAAGACGGGGGGGGGGGGTGGTCAGCCTCTTTCCTTTTAAAGACACGTATAGATTGTGTACCCAAACGTATCTCTCTCAGCATAGCAGCTTTTCGCCTAACAAATAGAGTCGCCTACAGCATGAAACCTCGTAGCTTTAGCGGCGGGACCCCCCTCCCACCTCACCCCAGCCCCCTCCTACACACACACCCAATGCAGACATACACACACACACGCCCAACACAGACACAAGCATACACACACACACACATACACGTGGACTTGGACTTGGCAGTTGGAAATTGAAAAGAGTAGTCTAAGGGCGCTGCCCGGGGCAACATTTTGAGTTAAAAATCTACCCAATGTATTTCAGGAGCCTCACCGGTGCTACAGAGCCTGTGCACTGTGCTGAGCTTCTTCGGACTCAGACTTGAGTTAGAAGAAGAACTGAGCATTTATGTGTTACTCTCCGTGAGCCATGATATTGATCAGTTGTTCAAACCCTTAATAATTGCGAAACAGCTGCACACAACTGTCACATCCGAAGATTTGCAAAGAATTGTCTTAAGGATAGTTTCAATTTAGTTCCAGTGTTTTATTTTGATCTTTTTTTTTTTTTCAAACGTCGGTCGGGACAGCATTTGGTCTGTCTCTTTTGACCGCATCAACATTGCAGGAGTTCTTTTTCAGGGCTACTTAGTGACGATAAGCTGTTTTATATGACGCACATAAACCTAGTCACAATTATAACCTGATGCTCCCCTTTGGGGATGCTGGGTGACGATTTTTTTTAAAGCAAAGAAGCAAGGAACAAACACAATTATACATTTTTTGTGTGTTAGTGAAGTATGCCGTCTCCAGAATAACGTTGACCTGCAATGTACTTGCTGTTGTCTTTGGAATCATTGCGAAGTGAGGTCACGGAGCGAGATGATGACTGTGTGGGCATTTTTGGCGGACCACTGGGGATTTTCGAAGAATCGGCAATGGCCCGTGTACTGCAGGTTGAAAAACACTGTTCTAGTTAACATTGACGTTCCTAGTAGCATCGTCAGGGGAGGAGCGTCAACTGTTCGGGCTTGCAGTTCCAGATTATCGAGTCATGCCAAGCTATCACAACAGTATAATAACAGAGACGCCACAGGTGGTGGGCGTGGGCGTGTGGGTGGGAGGGGGAGGAAAGAGGTATTGGGCAATACCGTCATGGAGGAAATAAGGCGCATACACACATACAAACACTAACATACATAAACACAGAGAGAGAGAGAGATTGTTTATAGTATGTTTATTGAAGTGTCCCATCAGGCGTTCATTAGCTCCTCTCACCTATTCCACTCCCCCCCCCCCCCCCATAAGGTCACTGTAGTTAAGTAAAACTGTTTCGTCTTCTGTAATCACCGGTTGTGAGCCCCGACGTAACGTCCTGGTTGATCGTCTGTATCCGGACTTATCCCATGACTTAAACCCCCCCCCCCCCTTCCCTCGCCTTCCGCGGTTTTGCTGAGAGAGACCGACCGTATGGAATAAAACTTGGTGCAATATAGTCGATCCTCTCAACTTTAAACTACTTTTTTTTAGTGAACCTGACCAAGAAGTGAGAAACCAACAGTCTGCATACAGTTTAGTTATATCTGTATAACAGGTGTGAACGACAAAAGACCAGAAGTGGACAAACAGCCGTAACTTTTCCGCCAGAGTTTACAGCCAGTGTACACAAAAGAGGAGAAGAAGAGGACCGTTTGATAAGCTTTTTTTTAAAAAAAAAAAACCACATTATAGAGAAACTTTGAAGGCAAGCAAACCTTTGGCGGGCAGCTATCTGAGTTGTAGGATAACGCCAAGATACCGACGAAAATCAATCTGAGAGAGTTTATGTCCAGGGCAACAATCACAGAATGCAGGATTCGTTCAATGTAGAGCCAGCACTCGACTGATTGATTTAGTGATTGAACAACCTGTTTGTGCATGTGGGTGCATCTGTGCTAGGCATGCGTGTTCTGTTCTTATCTTCTTGTATATGTATGTGTGTGTAGCCATGCGGACAGAGCCATGTTGAATAATTTTGATTTGGCTACAATCGCAGACTAAAAAAATATGGCAAGCTCAGGAATCGGGACGTCTATAAACGACCGTGTTCAGCGCGAGAAGGCTCTGTGTGTGTGTGTGTGTCTCGGTTCGTGCGGTCAGTCGCTCTGCCGTTGTGTGACCGCATGTGGTCCGCAGCTCAGGTGCAGCATTCTGAGCCGAGAGAGAGAGATGGGATTTTCTGACTGATTAAGGTGTTCGGAGTTATAACTATTGTAGGTATAGATATCAGCAGTTATCATCGCTAGTAGATATTGATTTCAGGTCGCTAGCGGCAGACTTTCACCTTTGTCAGCTGAAGTGCTTAGCACGTGGCCTGTGTAAACACGATGTTGATTGTTAATGTATTGTTATCTGTGGAGCATGTTAGTTTTGCGTTAAGGAAAATAAACAGATGTTTAGTGTTTAGTGTGACGATAATAGTTCTAGTTGTTTTGATTTGAATAAGGGCTTTTAGTTAAGGTGTCTAGTTGTTTTGTGTGTGTGTGTGTGTGTGTGTGTATGTGTATGTGTGGTTACGGCTAATTAAACTTCACGCAGAACATATCCTGTCAGGGTTAGGACACATGGTCTTAGTCCCCACCTAACGGACTTCTTATTTGTTACTAATGCAGCTTGGATTTGGGTTGCTGCTTCCTCTCACCACGACATTCTTTGTTGGAGTTCTTGTAGGCTTGGAGTAGAGATTACTTCACGGAGTCGATTTGTATATCATCCTTCATAGTGCCTCTCCCCTTCCTTTTGTACAAGATCCCTCTTAGGCTTAGCTTCTAGTATATGTGCGAGTGTGCTCTTTTGTGTCCGCCTGTATGCATATATTAGAATATAAATATTCATAGTCGATTCGCACACTTCTTTATCAATACAATAAACAAATCTCCCAAACATAAAATGATTTTTGTTTTGTTTTGTTTAATTGCCAAAAGAAAACCTAAACTAAAAAAAGTAATTACTCAAAAAGTATACCCTCTACTACAAAGCAATACTAACAGAAACTGCTCGTGCAGTTTGTCCCAAATAGAAGTCGTACCTGAACAAAATGACGTCTGTACAAGTGTTCTTATATCAGTGTCTTATCTTTTGATGCATACATAATAAGGTCCACTTGGTTGTATTTCGCGTCACCGCTGATATCCGACCTATCTCGCTGAGATCTTGACACAAACAAATGGCGGCTCACTTGAGAAGCAACTTGCTGGTAGTAAGCACGTGTGATAATGGTACTTGTAACTGTTTTGGATCATTGCATGAACATGGTAAGGCGGTAAGGTTAAACAGATATTTGTTCATGATGTTTTCCACCTGCGTGTGTGTGTGTTCTTTTTTCTCCCTGGTTTGTAATTTAATTATTCAATGTGCCTGACATCTCTCTGTTACATTTAATTTTTTTTTTTTAATTCCAAATCTTGTTTGATGGAGTCGCTGCAGCGCTGTGGCTAGCAAGCATGTCTGAGGAACTGATGATATAAGGTTTGAGCCTCATTTAGAAGAGCTTCTACAAACAGACTTGGGCTCCCAGTATCAGTAAATGTCCTGAGAAATATAAAAAGTCACTGTGATAATGATCGCATCACCCATTAAGTAACCCCTGATGCATAGAATATGGAAATAAAAATATCTTTATGTCCCATTGTGGAGAGGACAAAAGACACAAAAAATTGTCACACTTCCTCCTTAAGAAGCATGACGTAAAAGTCGACTAAGTAATTATTTATTTTTTCAATCCAAAGTTGAAGTGCATCTGCCTGAAAGACAAGGAGCCTGCAATCTGCGTACACATAAGCCATATCTGTAAAACGGATGTGCACGTACAACTCAAGTTCTGGAACAAGATTTAAGTCCAGATGTGGACGAACAACCAGACCTTTCTCTGGGAGTTTACAGCCGGTGAAATCAAAGAAGGAAAAGACAGGCCTCATGTGCCGAATACGCATCAATGTGGATATATTTGTATTTCCACTGAAATTTAACCAAATTATCAGATTATGGAAATAAGTACTGAAGAATATCAATAAGCAATATCTGCTCTAGGGCAGGCCACTGATTGAGAAGTAGAATCTGTAATGAATTTGTAATCAACACTAAAATTAACTATGACTACACCTCAATGTGTTATTTAATTGCTAGACTACAA